TAAAATTTAGAAGTAACAAAATGATATATATATATATTATATTATTTATATATGTGTGATAGAAGTAACGGTTAATCAGTTAAAACAATAAAATTAGTGTCCCATCCATAAACCGATCCATAACCAATAGAAACCAACAAACCAAAACCGTTCAACTGCCTTAACCATTGTATACGTTGGGGTAATGTTACATGCTCGGGCATTTTAATCAATCACGTACATTAAATGTTTTCAAGTAATTAATAATTTTACTTAATTAAAAATTTAGAAATTTTAAACAAAGTGAAAATTTGGTTAATTGAGTAAAATATTAATAGAAGGTTGCTAATTACAATTTTATGTGGTCGGCTACCATTTTTAACCATGCCTAAATAATTATTAATCTGGACTCCTGTAAGAAGTTAACTAGTGAACAAATTCAAAAAGCTCTATCTATATAACTTAATGGAAGCTCATACCCTCTGCTTCTGAGGTAAACTATCCATTGTATCTTTTTTTTTTTTTTTCGTAATACAATATTTTTTTATTTAATCGGTCAGCTAGAATACCACGTATAACATTAATATATAGACGGAGCCTTACTTACATGTTTTTTGTGTGCAATATAGGATTGATATGGCTCTTAGATACTTATGCCTGGTGTACGGTAAAGGCATGTACAACAATAGTGTAATTCTTGTATCATATCAGGTGGAAAAATTGATGCTATTGTTTTGACTATATATTCATGTGACGTGTCAACTATATTATGTGGTAAATTTTGACAAGTGGGGCGCTGGTGAGTAGGGCTGGTCTTTTTAAACCGTGATTTGGGTCAACCCGACGATCTGAACTGAACTGACCTGAAATCGAACCGAAATTCTAATTTCGGTTCGGATCGAAAATTTTAAAAGTTGGAACGATTCGGATCGGTTCGGGTTAAAAGAATATCCAAATTGAACCGAAAAAATCTAAAACCAAAAAGTAAATAATTATGTTTTAATTATGTCGCCGTGATTGCCGCTACCACTTTTGATCACCGCCGCCGGTCGCCGTCGGCGACAACTTCCGGCCAAAATTCCGGTGAATTTACCGAGAATTTATTTTTTCGGCGGTCGATTACCGTCTCCGGCATGATGACATCATCGTCATTTTTGGTGACATCATCATTAACAAAATTATTCATTTCGGATCAATTCAGTTTAGACCCGAAACTTAACCCAAACCGAACCGAACCGAAATCATTTGTGATTCAAAAGAAGTTAACCCGTTTCCGAATCGAACCAAAATAACGGTTCGGTTCAGATCGATTCGGTTCGGATCGGTTTTCTTCAAAAGAACAGCCCTAAGTGTGGTGAGACCCATCACATGGCCCATTTCTTTTTTTTTTTTTTGGGTTAATTCAAAGAAAACCCCATGTGGTATTCAAAACTTCATGATCACCACCTCATGGTAAATAAATATCTACTAAACCCTCTCATCCTTTTTCCGAAGTTTGTACAATTGCGAGAAATGTGCGACATTGTGAGACTGAGTAGACCTTAATTATTCTCCCCGTCTCATAATTATTGTGCAGTTTGAGTTTTCATTTTTAGTTCAAATTATAATAAAATTAAAATCTCAAACTGGACAATAATTTTAGGACGGAGGGAGTATATTTATATATCCAAAACACCCTTAAGTTTGACTTTATTTCTCAATTTCTTTTGCCCATACACTCAGCCACAAAGCTCTCTTGCTCTTCTCTAACTCCTCCGAAACCACCACCTCACGCAAAACTTTTTCAGATCCATGGTACCAGACTTCCGCCAGCACCCGACGAGACTCTCTTCGGACAAAAGCCGTCTATATGAAAGTTAGTGAAGGAATAAAACATGAAAGGAATCTTTCCTTGGTTGTTTATTGACGGAGAATGTGTTGCCACCTATGGCGGAAAATGAAGGGACGGCCGGGATAGGAGGAAATGCTAGATTTTTAGGAATATGACGGCGGCGGTCTAATTCTTTTTATTATTTTAGGGTTTGGGGAGTAGCACGCATGCAACAATGACGGTGTCACGGCAGCCATAAATAAAAAATCATACGTAAAATTGCGGAGTCTGGGCTTGTATATTTCTTATTTTTTCTCATCCAATTTTCTTTACTGTTACATTAAACTTTCATATGGTGAAAATTGGACTGGTTATTTTATTGTCTAGATTTTGTTTCTACTCCCAGTTCTTAGCATTTTTTGCTAGTTCAGTAACCTCTATTTATCAAGATTGGGCATTTTCATTGATACTTTGATAGTTGTGCTGGCGCAGTTTGGAAATTTGAGTTGAAAATTAAGATAACAAAAAAATTAAAAATAGTGAAGATTGAAAAGGAGGTCATTCAAGAGAGACGAAAAGGAGAAAAAACTACATTCTTTTAAAAAAATTAAAAAAAAAGAAATTCCAAACATTAGTAAAGAAAAAATAAATCGTTTCCTTAAAAAGAAAAAATAGAACAAAACTTTTGTTGCCAAGAGAAAAGGAAAATAATAAGCAAAAGATAAATAAACAGGAAATTAATAAAGCTAAAAAATAAGAACAAGCAAAGTTATCAGGAAAAGGGTAAACTAAGAACTTCTTTAACACCGTTAATATTCTGTGAGTAGAGTCTCCTTTACAAATATTGGACAAAGTACGAGAGGGTTTGTTAGACATTTCTTTACCACAAGGGGGTGACCATGTAGTTATGAATGCCACAAGGGGGTTTTTTTGAATTAACCTTTTTTTTTTTTCCTTTTCTTCTTTGTTTTTAAATGTTTACTATGTATTTTTTTCTTTCTTTTTTTTTGATCGTTACTTTTTTTTTTCTTTTTAGATTAGATCAACAATTTCTTTTTGCTTGTGCATGCTCTATCAATCTCATTTTGTATTGAAATTTCGTTGGGTTATTTTTTTGAATTAATGTACTCTATTAATGTGTTGTTTAGTCAATGATAATTAATTTATTTATTTTCTCATATTATTTAGATACGTTTTTTTTAGATTTTTTAAGAAAATAATAACATTCTACAATCAAATTTGTAATTTATATATATGTAATTATTTGTAAATATAGTAAAATATTAATAGTAGGATGGTTGTAGGGTAGTAATAGTGAGATAGCTTTAGGTCTAAAATTATATAATAGTGAGTGTAAAATTATTGTAGAAGAAAACGTACAAATAAGAGTGTGGTGGAATGCTGACGTGTATTACATAAATTATTATACATGCTCTAATTTTTTTGAAAGCTATTGGTGAAAGAATTGCTACGTTGTATGCGGTTTTATAATGACATTGTTCTATTTTAAGGGGGTTTTTTTTTTTTTTTATATGAATCTTGGCATGCAATTACATACTTTATAGAAGAAATTCTGTAGCTTTTGAAATTTATAAACTTTCATAAACTCTCCCGTTGATTTTTTTTGGTGATACTAATACCTAAGATGAGTTATGTCAACTGTAGTACTAAAAGAAACAAAATTTTAGTTTTGAATTTAAACATCTCTCTCAAATTTTACTACTATCTCCATTTCGTTTTATCTGTCGATTTAAGGTGATCCCAAAATTTCTTTTTATCCGTCGTTGTTTTTTTCCAAGAATATTTTAATGACTTTTTTTTTTTAATTTACCCTTACCTCCCACCTAAAAGTATGTGGCTTTCTACATTACTCAATTAATATAATGTAGTTTGAGTCAATAGTTGAACATAGAAAATAAGTGTAGTTGAATAATTAAATAAGGGCAAAACAAGTAATATTCTTAAAAATTAAATCTTCAATTATTATTTTCTTAATAGTTGTGCAAATCCTAAAACGACAGATAAAACGAAATGGAGGCAGTAGATCTCAACTATTTATTTTTATTTGTGTTTTTCCTCCGTTTGTTTGCTGTTTTCTATTCCCCAACCCCCACCCCCCTTTCTTTGGTGCACAGGTGGGCGTTTTAATTAATCAGACGATTTGAGTTGCGACAATATAAGAAAATGTCATCAGCTGAAGACCCTTTTATTACACTTTATTTTTGAAACAGTATCTTATATTATTACATCACATTTTATTATACGTTAAATTGTGTAATATGATTACTTCACGACACTAACTTTGATCAAAGGCAGGAACGAAAGGTATACATTAGGTTAACTAGTAGAGAAATCACTTCCTGTGCCTCCATTGAAGTAGGGACGAATCCAAACCTTTTTATTACTCCCTCCGTCCCAATAAAATGCAAACTGGACAATAATTATAGGACGAATTACATTATATATAAGATTCAGCTGTTTATGTTGACTGCCACTCAGTACTTCTCAAACTGGTAGTCCTGTCAGAACTCCTTCCTAAACCCGCAATCATGTTCGCTTCTGTTGAATCAGCTGTCATTAGTTTTTTTTCACCTGTTTTATAATATTGGCACAACTTACAAAACGATCACTAGTATTAAGAATAAATCCACATTGAGAAATACAATTCACAAATTATAATATAATATTCGCATAACGTACAAAACGACCACTAGTATTAAGAATAAATCCACATTGGTCTATACAATTCACAAATTATAATATAAATTCTTTTTCTAAAACGGGAGAAATACATAACTGTAACAGAAATAAAGGAAATGCTTCCTCTTCACCAATCCAAGCATACAAATCCAGGGTTTTCCCTCTCTAGGGATCCATGTCTGCAACTGCAATTTCTGACTTTCAACCCATAATATGGATTCTGATAATAAAGGAAAAACTTCTGGTGTTTACCATTATGGATCGATTGGCCAGCTCTGATGCCAAATGATAGAACCAGCAACGGTAGAATAAGAAGGATTGACTGTCCGTACGAAGAGGACAATTCTATTACAACTCGGGATTTCTCAGATAATCCTAAACAACTTGTGACTACTATTTACAGCCAACCAAATAAAATGACCGCTACAAACTTAAAATGATTCTCAGACAATCGTAAACAACTCGTGAAACTACTATTTACAGCCAACCAAATAAAATAACCGCTACAAACTTAAAATGCTGAAGATACGGGCATGGAATAAGAATAGGGGAAAGTTGGTAATACCATACGCCGTTGCTTCTTGTTCCTCCTAGAATAGGTTATAAACAGTCTGGCTCTATCAGTCTTCCTCTTGGAGCTTCCCATCCCGTCATCTGCAACAGAAGCAGAGTTCACTTTGTCGGGGTTGGGCATTTTAGAATTGGCCGTATCTGTGGAGTTGCTAGTATCCAAAGATGGTACAATCCCTTCAGCCTTATCCTTAACCTCGGCTATAACTCCGGAGCTTATATCAGGATTATCTTTGTCCCCGGCATGTGTGTCACATTTAGTGTCAGTGTCTTCGGATGCCTCTTCATCTTCAGAAGCCTCTTCCTCATCTTCAGAGGCTTCTTCATTCAAGTCTGGCATGGAATCAGGTTCGTTGGCTTTGGCAGATGAAGACTCTTCTTTAGATCCTGTGGCACAGACACCAGCTCTGACAGCAGGGACTGCATTTTCTTCCTCAATCTTACGTCGAAGAGATTCTATCACATTCATTAACTCCCTATTTACCTGCAAAGATCATTTTACTGTCATTTTACTGTGAGCATTTATTCGGTTATGCCAATCATTGCAGTAGGAACTATTGCTACAATAGTTAACAAAAGAAATAGAAATGTCACATCTCGCACCACATAAGAACAATATGATCCCCTATGCTACTATACCTGTGGATCCTGAAGGAAGTCAGAGATGTCATTTTTACAATGTAGGCATCTCATAATATTTTTCTGAACCCTTAAGGTCCTTCTGCCTCCAGATATCCTCTCCCTTACAGAAGACTGACCTACAAAGGCACCTTGCAAGCATGCTTTGCAAAAGTTATGTCCGCATGGGGTAGAAACAGGAAGCACCATCACTTTGCGGCAGATAAGACAGCCAAATTCTGCACAAGAAGTATACTTATTTACACATATAAATGTAACCTTCAATCAAAAGAAAACTTTTATACAAAAAGAATTCTGGGCCACCTCTGCAGGCATATGTAATTGCGCACACATATTGTATAAAGCCACAAGCATACTTATATACCTTTCAGAAGCTTTTCCTTGAAAGACAAATTTTTCTTATGTCTTACTTTCCTAATTTTAGTACTCTCATCATCACACACGTCTAAATGGATTCGACTTTCTGGCGGTGCCTTCTTCCACATCCAGCAACCTTTTACCTCCTTAACAAAAAGGAAATCCACAAAATTATCATTATAATCCAATTGATGTTTGTTTTAGAAGTTCAGTTGAAAATTTATTATTTTGAATGAGAACAAACTGAATGAAATACAAGATATCACATAGCTTTCTTACATCATAATCCCAAGCAGGAGATCCCTTTCTTGTTGTGACATCTGTTGCTTCCTTCCACTCCGGAATAATGGTCAGAAGCCTTGGGCGATCCTCTCGGGTCTCACTGCAATTGTTTTATCAACAAACAAAAATGAACAGTAAGAACCATTGTCTGATAATTTAGAGCTACATGAGGAAAAATGTCAGGAGGAATACGACCTTGTCCATGGACCAGGATCATTATCACAACGAATAAATAAAAATCGACACATCTTAAAGCCCTGTAAAAATAAGGGAAGTCAGATAATGAAGTTCACCAAATTCTCTATATCTGAAAATAAAGGCCTGTCAACTTACTTGCTTACCACCTATGCGCCAACATTTTTCAATTCTGTAGATTCCGTCATATCTAACTCCTTTCTCTGGTGCATAAGAGGATCGTTTCTCCTTGTGGGATCTGGTCAGCAGAGGAACATCATAAGTAATGTTTGACAAATCTTTCTGGTCTTAACTCTTAAGAGCTACTTAATTCATGAGATCGGCTAAATGAGTAGGTAAAACAAGACAATCTTACCTCACAACTCGAACTGGATAACCTTCGAGACAACTGACCCGCAATGCTTCATTCATCTTGTCAAATTTCTGGTGTACTGACTGAAACCTATTTGCACTTTTGTTGTCACTAAGTTCCTTCCCTCCACTATTCAACATCCAAGAAAGATATAGGTTTTTAATAACCAAAAAGTAGTAAAATGCAATGATTGTAATGGCAATCAGGAAAACTTAGCATGTACCGTTTTCAACCAAAAAAAATACATAATCTTTTTTTTTTTTAAGGTACATAATCTTGTTTTGATTATTAGCAAACGGGGTTAAAAAAAAGTAGTAAATTTGAGCAATTTATTGACCTTCCTGTGTAAAGAAACCAATCACCATGGTCTGCATCATATTCATAGCCTCCAGATAATGCAACAGACTGAGCACCATAATCTGACTGTCCAGCAATTCGAGCATTAATAGGAAAATGAGCACCCCATTGCCTACATTCCATCCTATCCTCCCATGTCTCCCCAACAACAACACCACGATTCCGTTGAGGATCATGTTCAGGCAGAATAGGTCCAAAATGGTCACGAGGAATGGTAACAAAAATCTTTTCACCACAAGTATTCGCCTTTACTGATTTCTTTGCACGTTCAGTAACAGATGCCTTGTCTGGTCGATTTTGTTTGTGGAGAAAATGGACTGGCTTCAGAGGACTCCTTGCTGCATTAGAATTCAGCATCTTGGCAGTTCTAATGGCCAAGACTAGTCCAGAATTAATCCTGGGTTCTTTTGCCATTTTGGATGGTATTAAATTGCGACAGTTGGCACATGTGTTCTTCCCTTGAGCAACCCATTTTTGAAAGCACTTCAAGCAGAAATTGTGACCACACGGCGTCTGTTCCCAAATCAAAAACAAAGACATTGAATTTGATCAGGCATGCTGATTTTCCAGTCAAGCAAAGCCATTAATTCTAGCAAAAAAAGAGGGACTACTCGTGATCACCATGTCTAACTAAACCGAAACGAATGAAGAAACAAAACATAAAAAACTTAGTAAGGACTCCACTAGTTACATTTAAGATCTGTAAATCCATATTGCCCCCAACTACCAAATTGGAAAGAAACCTCCACGAAATGCCAAGCACATTATGAAGGAAAAACAAACACAGTTGCACTTCAAGCAGCAACCGAGCAACCCCACTAAGACAATTCAAAGTCTATGAAAACAGGCCTGTTCCACTCTGCAGTTAAGACAAGCTCTATCAATCCGGAATCCAAAAATATTCCTTTATTTGGCAGATACAAGAATCTAGCACACTTGAGTAATGGTGAATTTTACAAAAGCAATCATTTAGTCCAAAATTGTTCAAGATGGTCAAAAGCAAAGTTTCAGCCCAAACTCCGAAAGAGAAACAGTTCACATAACAGGGTAAACAGGGCATTTTTACAGAGGAGATAGAAATGGATAGGAAAACAGAGAAAAGATGGAAAATTGGAGGCGCACCGTAACAGGCCTATCGGGAAGGAACATGCAAATGGAGCAATTAATCTTCTTGTCAAGAAGATCAAGCACATCGTTAGTTCTGCTGGAATTATTACCCTTCTCCTCGAATTTGTCTTCCAATTTGCCACCAGCAGCGCGTCCATCAACTAGCTGCTGTCTTCGCGTAGCCTTTTCATCAGAGGACAGAGAATCGTCATTCTCAATCATCCGAATCGCCGCAAGCAATTCAGACTGCTGAGACCCAGAAGCCGCACTGACGGCAGAAACAGGGGCGACGCCGCCGCCGCCGTCAATGATGCAATCGGGACAGTCCCATTGAGCAACATCGGACATGGTCTGAGGCCGGCGTTTCTCAGACAAGCAATCGACGTGCCACGGCGTCGTACAAATATTGCAGGTCAAAGTGTCCTCCGGCTGTGAGTTCTTCTTGCAAGCCATGCACAGCCCATCTCCGTCGCAAGGTAGGTCCATCACTCAGTAGCCCAAACTGACTACTTGTCCTACTGTGTGACTGTGTGTGCTCGGAAAACCGCAAAAAAAAAAAAAAAACTGTATAGGGAGTATCCACTTTCAACTCCAACTACTGTGAATACAGATGGGTTTTCAGGGAGAGTTGTTGATTTGAGTTGATTCCGGAGGAAATGGAGTGGATTGATCAGGAAAAAAGATTGGATTTTTTTTTCTTTTGGGGCTTTCCCATCCCTTTGTTTTCGGGTTCTACTTCTCCCACAACCTCGGGGATTTAAATATATTACTCGGCTTCTTCTGCCCACGACACGCGTAGTAGTCAGAAAACACTCGACGCCCATTAAGAAGTTTACATCAATCAAACCAATAATTTTGGCTCATAAAACATTGGCTTGTTGGAAAACTTCATAAATCATGACAAGATTGATACTTACTTTCCTTGTGAGGGTTCAATTTGTATTTTTAGTTTTAGTAGTATTGCATAGGAAATACAGAAGATGATCATGGTCACCTACCCATTAGTAAACAATACATGAAGATACCGATTACTTGTTGTTTATGGTGAATGTCATAGAAATTGAGGCAGAAGGAATAGTAGTATCTTTGTTACTTATATTACTCCACATTGACCCCACAATACCTGTAACTTAAAAGAAGAAATTAGATACTCCCTCCATCTCATAATTATTGTCCAGTTTAAAATTTTAATTTTGGTATAAATTAAATTAAAAAGAAAACTTTAAGTGTACGATAATTTTGGGATAAAAAGAGTATTATTTTTCAATCTTAGGTATCGTTCATAATTGTTCAATAGTAAGATAAATAAATTGAAGTCAGACCGAATAAAATGAAATGACTAATTTCTTTCTCCAAAAAACTGACCTATAATATGGTTTCGGGAAACGGAACCGGTATATATTAAGAGTAAACAAAAAAAGGAAAAGAAAAGGCAAGAAGGACCAGAGAAAGAGACAGGGGATAACTCTAGTAAACCGCCAAAGTTCTTTTCACAGTTGCAGAAGCGGTTACATCCTTTCATCTTCCACTCTGCACGTTGCAAATTTTCAATCATCTCTTTTCTCCGCTAACATTTTTTTGCATCGTTTCATGAAACGCTACAAATCATAGACTTATTTAGTCACAGTGTTTCATATAAAAAGGCTATAAAAAGGTTCGATCTTTGACCCGTTTCAGCACTTGCAAAACAGGGCATCATAAATTCATACTTTTTTTCTCATAAGGGTAAGAGAAAGAAAGAACTATCTCATTGTCATCTTCTTTGGAATCATCCCAAGAGAAACAAAGAAGGGTCCCAAAGAAATGGAACAGAGCAGCAATCTGAAAAGAAAACGGGAAGAAGAAGCAGAAGAAGACCAAGATTTATCTTCTTCCTTGTGTGAATCTTCCGACCTTGTAGAGTCAGGGGATGATTCTGAAGCACAGTCCAAGGAATCCCGTTTAAGAGATGTTCATATGGACCATAAGCTTGTGTTTGCTACGATTGAAGGGGAGTCGAGAGAGTTGAAGTTCAAGGAATGTGATGTTTACTCTGCATTGTATGAACCCATGTCCAAGCCTAAGGTAACAAATCTTGATTTTCCGGTGTCTGGAAAAGGGCATAAAGCAATTTCCATTGTGGGTTCTTGTAATGGTCTGATTTGTGTTGTTGTTGACTATAAAGATGTCTTTCTGTGGAACCCATGTACTAAAAGGTCAAACAAATTGCCTAGTTCTGGTATGAAAGTAGAAGACCCTGAATTGATTGTTCATAGTAATATTATGTCTTATGGTTTTGGATATGATGAGGCCAGCAATGATTATAAAGTTGTCGTAATTTCTAGTGATTTGTTTGGTAACGGGAAGTTCAAGTCTCTGGCTACGATATTTAGCCTAAAGACTAATTCTTGGAAGAAAGTGGATCATTTCAATGAGTGCATTCGTGATGAAAGTTGTCCTTTTGTCAATGGGAAGTTACATTGGACTGCAACCCGTGGTGAGAAAGAGCCAGGAAAATCTGATGCCGGGCTGAAAATCGTAACGCTTGATTTGGCAAATGAACTGTGGGGAAAGATAGAACTGCCTGATTTCGGAGGAAAAGGCGTTTTTAACTGGAGTTTAGGGAAGTTGAAAGGGTGCCTTTCCTTGTCGGCTCTTCGTCGAGGAGGAGAGGTGGATGTTTGGGTGATGAAGGAATATGGGGTGAAAGAATCTTGGACTAAAATGGCAATCCTCCCTCACAATCTTCTTCCTAGTGATGGTGGAGGTCCTTTCATGAAACCTCTTTTCGGGTGCAAGGAAGGCCTGTATTTGGTTGTGTATCATGCACATAAGAGAAGGGGAAAGGAAACTATGGCTCTCTGTAAGCCAGATGAGGAAGATTTGAGGACGGGGCTTTTGGTCAATCATTTTGTAGGTTTGCACACTGTGGGGATGTACGTTAAGAGCCTGGTTTCGCCCAACGTTCGTCTTTAGGAGTGAAAATGAGAAGGCCATGAAGTTGTAAGTAGAGATTTTCTGTTGCTTTCCTGTATTTCTGTTCATGGTTTGATCCACATTTTGAACTGAACTTATTTGAATAACAACATCAAGCATGAGTAGTATTGGCTAGTAGACATGAAGAACCTGAATTGCCACTAAACTTTGTTTATCTCGAAATTAAGACTCAAAGTTGAAACAGGCATCCTGCTTTATTATTGAGTTTTGTCCTCTGTTAGTTTGTTCGTCATCTATTTTCATAACTTAATGGAACATTCGTACAAAAATTCCATACAAGAAAACTCATTTATTTTTTGCCCTGTATGTCTTCTCTGAAAAACTGATTAAAACTTTCCACTTTTAATCGAAAGTTTTGGTCCTTTCTGCTGGTGTTTGTAATGGTCTAAGGAACTCAATTATCTATCTGTTGGGGTTCAGGCAAAAAAGGATGCTGGTTGCTTGCTTTGTAGAACAATTCAAGTAATTTGGCTACGTGAATGTCTCTCTGTTTTGGTTGTGGTTAGTAGTGAGGATATATTAGATAAAATATGTTCTTATAACAGGTGCAAATCAGTCTAGTTAGGAACTAATCAAAAGCAGTAATCGAAAGAAATTGGCCCGAAAATGCAGATTAGCAATTAGGAAGCAGAAGAAGTTTGGGTCCTCCTGAATGCTGTTTGATTTCCTCTGTTTTCATATAAGTCACTCGCATGGAAGTTGATGACTTCGTGTACGTATGAAACGTATAGAAGGGGTCATAATCTTCAGATTTTGATTTTGGGTTCTTTCTTTCACAGAGGACATTTGAAGAAGAAGATGGAAATGGAGGGCGCGGGTGAAATGAAATTACCATCCATTTTAAGAGTCTTCTTTTGCTATTTTGCCTGTGGAATGGCTGTAAATTGTTCCTTCTGTTATTATCAGCATTATTAGGGAATTTCTAAAGTATTTTGTCGAGAATATGCATGCTTTGATAGTTGTAGGTTCTTAAGATATTATAACTGTATTGAATAGCTCTGATATTGCAAAGTCATAGCTTTGCGTAGCTTTGATTTTGCAAAATCATTGTCTGGATGATTAAAACTTGACACATTGTACAAGCTGAGTATTCTTTTGATTTCTTTCAAGGTCTATAAACATTACTAGATATGGTTTCAAACTTTTCCACAACCCGTTGTGGCGTTTTAGGCGTAGTTTAATATGCTTATCACTTGTGCTAAAAGGGGGCATTTGGTTATTTAACTTTGTTCGTTCTTATGGCTAAAAATAAATTAAATTCAGGAAAGTATGTTTGTTCATCTCACTTATTGATATTTCCTCGAATTCTTTATTTAATTTCTACCTTTTCTTTTTCTCTGTCTTAAAATGATTGTCTAGTTATGCGCGACTCAACATCTTTTGGGGCATAAAGTGAATTTTACATTGGAGGCTTTTTGTAGTATTTTTAGTAGTATAAAGTGATTAGGTCTAAAGTTTGATTTAATGAAAAAAGCAAAAATTTGAACAATTTTATTAATACATAATGCTCTAACCACAATTTAATCCAAATGGTATATGGCTATTTTATAGTTTTATTACCAATAAATTGATAAGATGCTCAAACTAGGATGTAAGGTAGTTTAGAAATATTAACACTCATAAAATATAACGTGATAAATATTAATAATTTGAAATATTTATGATATAAAAAATTTGAGTTGAGAATATTTTAGTTGTCATAATTAACGACTAGATGCTTGCCCCGGGCGAATGCCTGGGGTGTCGCCTGTATTTTTAAATTGATTAAATAAAAATACGAATTATTCTTAAAAAAAAATAAAAAAAATATAAGAATGAAAAATCGATTGAAAGGACAGAATGTGAGCTATTACACATAAATTTATACCCAGATTTACAACATTTAATTTATAACAGTTAACTTATCCGGGTTTACATAAATCATAAACCAATATCTACAACAGAAGAATAAAAAAAATCATCCTTAAAAAATCAATTTCTTTCATGACAACGTATTTTTTCTCTGTTGTAGAAAGAGATTGATTAATAATTGATGTCAGATTTTAAGTAATAGATTTAAAGGCCCGGGTGTGAGAGAGGAGCGGAATGGAAGAGATTCTTTGAAATTGGAGATTGAAAAAACATTACTGGTGTTTCACTTGATTTAAGGATATTTCCTTACATTTGATTTTATCAACTAAATATTGTTGTTTTGAAGGATTAGTATATACCTATAATTAAGATATTTTTATGTAGTTATAATAAGAGATTTATGTATTTATCTATTCTATCTTTTTTTTCTGATTAGTTAGAGCGTCACGTGTCAAAAATGATTTTGTACTGAAAATGACTTTTGGCGAGAAAAATTTTCATTGTGGTGCTGACATATGTCTTTTTTGTTTGCTGCTTTAATTAAGTACTATAGATTGAAAGAGATTATTATTATGAAAATTTTGGAAATCTTTTTGCTATGGAGATGTTTGTTGATTTTTTTGGGCTAAATTTTGATGTCATGAAAATCAATCATACAAATACGACTAATTGGTTACATTCGTATTATAAAATGAAATTGAGACTTTATGAAATAGGATTAAAGGATTGATAACATTTATTAATTACTTACAACTGTTGATTTTGTTTTACAAAACTAAAGATTTGTATAAGTGAAAAAAAATAAAAATTGGAGCCTTGGGCAAAACCTTGCTTCATTTGCTTTGCCCTTGAGCCGGTACTGTGTCAAGTTTGAGTTTTTTATAAGAAAAATAAAAATTTAAATTGGACATCATTTTGGAACGGAGAAACATAGTATAAATGTTAAACGTGGACTATGTCCTCTAGTCGCAAAACATCGCAGCTGTCCAACACCAAGGAGAAAAGAGATGCTACTATTTATTATTAAGGAGTCGAAATTCATGTACTACCTCCATTCTTATTTATAAGAGGTTTTAGAAATACTTACGTATTTTATTCTTTTTTATCAGAAGTTTTATATTTTTAAGAAAGCATTTAATGATTTTTTTTCTCTTTACCCTATCAAGTAACCAATTCAAAATTAATTTAATCACTTCATTAACAATATTTTTGAGACAAAAAAACTAGATTTTGTTAGTTTTATTGGTTCGTGTAAAGTAAGTTAACTTCATCTTATATATTGGAATGGAGGTAGTACTAGTTACTCCATCCATTTCAAAATGTAGGTCGTTTTAGATTTGGAGACATATTTCAAAATGTAAGTCGTTTTAAGATTTCAAGGCAAATTAAAAATTAACTTCTCAACTTTGCCCGCAATAAATGATGTTAACAACTTTTCATCTAGTTTTTTTATTATAGTTCCAAAACAATTAATGAAGGAAAAAATAAACATTTAACACACAAATCAATCATTAAATGATTGTCTCCTAAATTTACGTGTAAGAGGATAAAAAGACTTACATTTTGAAATGGAGGGAGTATGAAAGATTCAGGAAAAATGATCTAGATGCATGTCTCAACAAATAAAACGATTCAAAATCTTTTAATTAGTTCATAGAAAAATTGATGTTGAAATTTGTCGGCTTACTTTTATACGTAAGAAAGTTAACGCCCAATTTAAAATTATAGTGTAGGATATCTAATATACTAATTAATGTTTGCGTTGATTTTCATATTGGTCAGAAAAAATTAACGCCTACTACATTATTATTTTGAGTGCCTGCCAACTCTTTTCTCGAATTTTGAATTTAACGATCATAAAACTTTGAAAATCATAAGTTTTTAATTAATTTCTTATTAAATTAGAACAACTTTTAGATCATGGAGAAAAAGAACAGTAAATAAAATTTAGAGTTTCATCGTGTCGACTAATTCGTCGGCTTTGTTAGGCCGACCAAATAGTCGACAAGGATAATTTTGTCTGAAAAACAATTGTGTTGAGTTTTAACTTTCATTGGGGGTATCAACTGATAAGAAAAAAAAAAGGAAATGTTCTACAATCAAAACAAAAATCACCTTTGCATAATTTCAATAGGGTTTAAGGCCGTGCCTGACTTTTTAGTCTGTTAGGAAATCCAGCAACAATATTAAGATTGAAAATAAAGTTTACTACTGTAAGTATTGATTTTGTGTTGCGTTGAACTTCACATTGGTCGAGAAATTTGAACAAAGATGCAAAACATATGGCTACTTTACAATTATTGTTGGAATGTGACAAGCCGTCGTCACACTAGTCAAATAATAATTACCTACTTAATACAATTACTAGTAGTAAAGCAGAAAGCAAGGTCGATCCCACAGAGAAGGTTACTAATTACCAGGTATAAATTACTCCTATTATTATCTAGATAAATGATGATCTCAGATTTATAAACTTTAAACCTAAAATAAATAAATAAAATAAGAGAAAATAATATTAATTCAAATAATCAGACAAAGAAAACCTAGGACATTGGGTTCACCTACCGAATATTTGGTATAGTTCAATTCACACATATCTGACTTTTAATTTCCATTAATCTCACAATGATTCACCTAATTAAGAACTATACACTCTCGTGTTATAATTCTCTTACTTATATTAACCCTATGACTACTCTCGTGACTATAGGAATTAACAAAAGCACATTAAGACCATTAAGAATCAAATATTGCAAAGGCTATAATCTTACTCTCGTAGCTTATAACCTAAGTTTATTATTCCTACGAACTAATATTAATCTTCCACTCTCGCTACTTCGATTAATACCTTCAGACATGCAAATAGTGGCCAATTACTTACACGAATTAAAACAAGAATAACAAATATTAATTAATGGAAAAATCAAATAATAATGAACTAAATAAACCAAATAAATTCGGTGGCTATACCCAAGCCCTAGATTAAAATAATTTAGCCACTAAACATTATTAAAATTAATTCAATAATATTTAGAGACATAATAAAAAAAAAAAAATAAATTAAATAAATTAAAACTTCAAAACCGAATTGACGCCAAAGACCCGCCGACGGTTGCTGCTCGCTTCGCCGGAGTTGCTGCGTGGGAATGGAGGTGGTGGTGCTACGCGGCGGTGAAGAGGAAGGCGGAGAAGATGAAGAAGGTGGCGATGGCGAAGAGTTGCAGCGGGGAAGCTCCGGAGGAGGAGGGCTGGTGCGTGGAGGAAGATGGTGGCGTTCGGTAGTGATGGCCGGCTCGGTGATGATGATGACGAAGAGATGTGAGAGGTGGAGAAGATGATGATTAAGCAAAGGTGATGGAGCTGCTGTGCGCGCGAAGGCTCGGCGTGAAGAAGCAGAGGTGGTGCGGTGGGAGTGGAGACGAGGAGAAGGTGGAGAGGTGGAGGAGAGTTGCAGCGGGGGAGGTCAAGGTGGTGGCCGGCGGTGATGGAGGTTTTAACCGTAGGGTTCGGTGGTTTTCGGTCAAGTTTCGGTTCAGTTCTGTTGTAAAAAATAAATCCCTAATCCTCCTTTTATAGGCTTCCGGCTAAACCCTACTCCTTGAAGAACAAGAAAACTTGTTTCCCAATTAATATCGGGATTAAAATTCTTATCCAATTCCAATCCCAAATCGGCCGCATAACCAACGTAACCTTCGGCCAATTTTCCAAAAATTAGAATCAAATTGCAAAATTGCATGATTGGCCCTCCAATTCTCTAAACTCATTAATTTCTTCCCCATCAATTGCTCCAATGTTCAATTCATTCCCATTGAGTTGCTTTTAATTCGATTTTAGCTCAAAACTTCAACAATTCTTCATTTGAGTACAATTCCTACAATTAAAGATAAAATCACATAAATAGCATATTTGTACTCAAAATATATTGCAAAAATCACAAATTAGGGATATAATAAATAGGTAAAATATAAGCATATCAAATACCCCCAAACTTGAATTATTGCTTGTCCTCAAGCAATCCCAAACATTAAACAGACAAAAACATTTAATTATTTAATTTGGCGGCCTCAGAGATTCAATCACATCATATAACACAAAGATTTCGACTACCTCTAGTATGGACTACCTAACAATGCAAACCATAGTTACTTTTAGCCCCCACGCTTGTGTGTGTGTGTGATTCGTTTCTTAAGGACATCACTTTAC